TATGTATGTATGTATGTATGTATGTATGTATGTATGTATGTATGTTGGTATGGCATGGTATGGTATGGTGTGTTGTGTTATGTTATGTTATGCATGCATGCAAGTAGTGTAATGTAATGTAATGTAATGGTCTCAATTGTCCGTGTCCCTTTCTTAGGGAGTGGGCACAAATAGAGAAGCATTCCTCAGATATGGTTTACGAAGATTCATTGGCACTGACAGGTGCAAATGGATGTTCTCAAGGCCAGATGAAGAAGAGTATGATCAGTACCGCGGGCAAGAAGATGGTGCTTGGTATGAAGATGATTATTTTTATGACGACCATGACTCTTATGCATATGACGATGTGACACAGCTCTACTCTGAGGTGGTCCCGGCACTTCCCATGGAATGCTCCGATCAGGCACCAGTGGCAAGATGCAATGCAAAGTTCCACTACATCATCACCAGCAAGAGGGCGTTTCAGTACACTTGTGCTGACGGAGTTGAGACCCTGCAGAGCACTCCGGAAGCTGTTCAGTTTCGTGCTCACCAGTGTGGGTATGACCTAATCCAGTGGGAAGCTGCAGTCATTTTGAAGGAGCCAGGACCACATCCATCATTGCAAATCCCAACCTGTGGGATCAAAGGCCAAGACGGACGAGCATCGCTTCAGTGTGGCGAGGTTCCAGATGGTGAGCTGTTACCAGGTGGGTGTTTACACATGCGGGAACCTGCTGTTTTCAAGTTTGAAGTCCACAAGGATGTTGATGTGGAGGGCAAACTTGTACTAGATCAATGGGAAACATGGTCGCAGCTGTACGTTGTGAAGTTCTTTGACAACGGCTGGTCTGCTATTCACAGCCCGAAGCTCAGTCCTTATGTCCACTCCAATGCACTGGTGCTCCATGCCAGGCCCAGGTACTTTGATTGGGGAGTTTCCCCCTTGCTAGTTTCACAAGGACATTTGTTTTGCAGGAACAACGTGTTCTCAGATGCAGAGTGTGGTGTGCTGCAAACGAGGCCTCGTCTTAAACTGCCCCTCCCAGCAACACTCACTTGTAGTCTTCCAACCATGTCCGGTCATGGCTGCCACAAACGAAACCCTTGGCGGCCGGAAGTGCGAGCACCCATCACATCGTCCTTTGCCCACACCAAAGACAACCACATGTTTGTCAACTTGAACGACGGAAAGTTTGCTGCAAGCAGCACAAGGCACCATGGCCACGGTCAAGAAACATGCGCAATCAAGCACAATGATTGAGCAGCGTTCCAAATTATCCTTTTACTTTCTTAGTAAGGGACCGGCGGACAATAAGTGAAAACAATTTAAACCGATGTTTGTGAGGTTTCCGTAAGGTTTGCCGTAAGGATGTGCAGCTTTGCGCAAGGCTACCACAAGTGGAACTGGTTTACTTTCATGACATGCAGCTGGGCCCAGAGATATTGAACAACGTACCACATGTAACCGCAGTGGACTTGCATACCTCGGCCGTAAGCCCAACGTAAGCATAACCTTTTGTACATGTGTCGCCGTAAGCAAAACATAGAAAAACGTAAGCCTTGCGCAACGCCAAAAGTAAGGTTGGATTGCTCGGAAAGAAACGACCACAAATTAAATTTGAACACAGCCCAATTGGAATCTCGGCCATGGTCAGAGTTGCGAGAATCTTCCGATTTTTATTAGCAGCCACGCTCCACGAGTGGGAAGTGTTGCCATCCTTTGATTCAATGAAGTTTGAAAAGACTTTGCTCAACACTGCACCCAGGTCACGATGAGACAGTATCATCCAACTGGAGCACCTCGTTTTGGTGGACTGACGGAAAGTACTTCTCTATGAATTTGCCTGGTTGGACAGGCTCATTGGAAGAGGGCGACTTTGTCGGCCAAAGAACGGAAGGGGGCACATATCTTGGTCCCTCAGGCCAGTTCAGGCTCAGATCAGTTGCTTTACCCTCGTGGTGGGCTTCGACGTTCGAAGGCCGAGCTGCTCGGGCCAATGACATCAACATCGACGAGCTGGCTGGCTGCAAGCTGACGCACTATCAGAATGGCACTTGCTACCAGGTTGTTGTCAGCAGCACCGTGCATATCTTCCAGTCGGAGGAGGGTGCATGTCCAAGAGCATGGGGACGGATGGAGGATGCCATGGAGGATGCTGAGGATGAATTCTACAAATTTGCCTACTCTTCCTTTGGAACTCAGACATATGAAAATCCCACCACACACTTCGGCGAAGTTGCCTGCTCGCCCTTTGCTATGCGCCGGCAGCTCCAGCTTGAAATTCAAGAAGTGCACAACGGTACACTCTCAGGGGCGGTGGTGGTTGCCGACATGGAGACACCCTGCCGTAAAGTCCTTCGTTTCTAGGCAAAAGTGCAGGCCCGGGCAAATATTATACTATGTAGAACCAAGCAATGTCTGCTAAACCGTGTAGGCCCCTATGGCCCTATGGTCCTAGACACAGCCAGTGATCGCAAGTCAGCATCCAGGGCATCCTACATGAGGTCATCAGGTCATCTAATTTGTTGAGCAACTGCCAGAACCTTCAAAGTGACCTCTTTGGAGTCTGTAAGTGACCTCTTTATGGACTAAGTGACCTCAAACTGGGATCTCAAAAGATCACTTTGAAGGTCCTGGCGAGTCCTGTTTTTTCGTTTACTGTACTTGCTGGCAACGCAGGGGGCGCCGCTTTTTTTCCAGTTCTGAGGCTTCGTCATGGACGCCAGTCGTTTCCTCCTTTGTCAGCACATTATGGACGAGGAATGGGAGGCATTGCGTCCTGGCTGAAGCTGGCAAAAGGTTCCAAAGAAACAGAATCACTTCTTTTGCTCTTTGGAAAGTTGCGTTACAAAGGTCCTATCAGCAGATAAATATTGAACGTACGCCGTATGCCAGAAAAGAGGCCAAAATAATTTGCACCAGCTTTGGTTGTTCGATTCTTCTCAGGGTTTGCCGAACAAGCCTTGACCTGGATTTTTGTTCGTTCGTGCAGCACACAACAACATGAACGGCAATCCTCCAAACCTTCAAGAGGTCAGAGAGAAGAGGTCAGGTTTTTAAATTGCTGTTGGGCGTGTAGGGAAGTTACGAGGAGCAATTGCTAAGAAAATGGCGGGGTGTGTTGCTTCATTCATAGCACCCATCTTTGAAGACAACGGGGGGTTGTTGCTTTTCTGGCCGCTCTAAGGATGAATGAATGAGTGCAAGTCTGAAAAGAAAGCCTCCAGAGCTAGCAGCTAGCCTTGACCTAAGCGTTTGATGCAAATGAAAAAGAATTGTCACAAAAATTGCACGGACATTTCTAATGGGAAGTGACGTGATTTGGGTATTGTTAATTCTTTTTCCTCCTCGGTCACAGTTACCACAATCATCAATCATGCAGGTGTTTTCTTAAATACCCGTGGGTGGCCAAAGACTTTTGGCTAACAGAATCCACGCACTGCTGCTTTTCTGTGTGGGTGCATGCTGCTTTTAGATCATGACATTGCTTTTGTCAAGTTTGGCACTGATCTCACACAGGTTGGGTCTTCCATGTTTTCCAGACTTTCGAATTCTACAGTATATATATATATATATACTTTTTTCCCGTGGTTTGTAGCAGGTTTCGGGCCCTAAAGCAAACAGCAGCAAGCAAGCCATGTTCAAACATTGCTATTTGGATGTCCATGTCAGTGCCACGAGATGTGGGGCTAGCAGATTCACTGTGGGACAAGACATCATGGATCTTCTATCGCACTGATGCATTGCCGGTATAGTGCTGCTGCTTTTCCAGTCGTCGCTAGCCTAGGGATCAGAAACCTCACAAGGACATGCATTCACATTGCAACAATAGAATGTAGCCCTTCAAAAACTTGCAAAGGTCGTGTGAACTTTTGAGGCACCGTGCGAGTTGGCTCAAGCCTTTATTTGAGCTCACCGGTTAGCTCGCCGTGGTTTGCGTTTCAACGACCAAAGTGCCAGTCAATCTTTGTTGAGTGGTATACATTTGGGCCAAACATGGAGAAACGGTCCCACGCATTTGCTCATCGAACCTATTTAAGACTGCCTCCATCGGCACACTCTCTTGTGACATATCTCCAATCTCTTTGTTTTGGCACCTCCATGCACTACATATCTCCAATCTTTGGGCGCCTGACCAAAGGATGAGAGCCAGGCAGGCTGAGACACACCAAGCTTGGAGCCCATCAAGAGCCGACATCTATGTTGTTTTCTCCAGCAGGTTGAAACATCCAATCGGTTTTATGCAGAGCAAGGGTAAAATAAGTTTGGTGCGCTCCTGAATGTCAAGCGTTACAGTAATATGATAACCTTTGATGGCTTAGTATGGCTCAGTGAGTCTTTCTATCTGATTCAATCCAGATGTTGGCTTCAGTACCAGGCACATGCCAGAGGGCAGAGGACACCGTTTTCTTTGCATGTTGGCAGATTGCAGGTCTCATGTCCTTGTGTGGGTGGAAGCTCGCTTGGTGGCTGAGGGCTCCGTGGCCCGCGGAATGCAGCAGAGGGAGAGAGAGAGAGGCGTGAAGTTCATTGCCACAAATGATGTGATAAACGCACAGTGTTGAATAGATATAGAAGCAAAATCACACCGCTTTTGGTACCTAGATCAGTTGTGTTTGCACAGTGGGCCTTTGTTATTATTATTGACATTTGCAACAACAATAATTAAGATACACAAGTAAACACAAGTACAAATTGATGAGAATCCTCCCGGTCAGGACCAGCACGGCATGCACTTTGTCGTGTGTTTGTCTTTTTCAGGCCGGCACTGGCCAGGCTATCCACCTGAAATCAAGGACAACTGCTGAGAGTTGAGTCTTGTAGACTTGAGCTCCAACAGCTCTTCATAGCCCTTCCATGTTGTTCCATTCGCTTGCCTGCACAGAACACCTGGAAGTTTCAAGACGCATAATATCACAGACGACCTCATCAATCCTGTGGGCCACAGTGCCATGGTCAAGATCCCTGGGGATTGCTTCGCTGAGGTTGTCCTTTCGCCCGACTGCTTCAACCTTGCTGGGGCAGTCCGCGCTATCGATGACGCCACCGACTTGGACGTGCAAGATGCAGTTTGGATGCCAGGACATCAAGTAGAGGAGGGGTTTGATTGTGAATGAAATGACAGTTTTTGCTCGTCCAAGTGATGTGTTCTAAAAAGTTCTAACGACTATATATAAGGAGGTCTTTAAGCAAAAAATCATGTTGCAATGTTACATGTTTTGATGTGTTTTGATTTTTCTGTCTCAGCCGCGGCCCGGCATGTCAGCTCCACAAAGTCATCACTGATCCCGGTCTGACTCAATTGCCAAGGGAACAAATTCCTCAGAGTCACACGTTCTGGGCTTGAGTCAAGTGCTGCAGTTGCTCCGACGGTCATTCCAACAAGTTAGAGTGGCTGATTCACATGAAAATACTAGCCAGTTCCTTGGATCCTATGATATATGCACACACGTATCGGCCCAAGAGGCGCATGCGTGTTTGGCTCAGATTCAAAAAAGCCACACGAGACGATGCTGGTGCTGTTTTTCTTTCGTTGTCCGTTGTCCAAACTGCTGCGTAGATCGTCCAAAATCCTCGAAACTGAAGTCGGGAGGGCCCACAGCGCAAGTGCAGGAAGACTGTTTGAGCACGTGGGGCGACACCTTCTTGGGACTAAAGCGCATCTTGTGGCACCTTGGATTTACGATGGCATGGGTCTGCTGTACCATGCTTCAAAGAGTCGGCCGGCGTTCACATATTTTCAACATACGCGCCACAAAGAAATACTGACTACTATTCGGGCAAGGGCCGGCAAAGTTTGATGCCGTGTCAACGCAAGTGAGGCGTTCGCGATGGACTGGACACTTTCCCAGTCCCCAGGGAATTTCGCTGCCTAGCATTGCCCCAGTTGGAGCAGAGTACAACCTGCCTTAGTGCTCGGAGACCAACTCTAAGGCCCTTGGACTGGGTATGGCTATGTTTGTCCGGAGTGCTGGCGGCCACTGGTCCATGAACCCACACGCTTATATAATTTGGCATCCAAAAGCCGTCAGGTGAGTTGGGAGGGTCCAGGTGTCAGGGAGATAGAGCAGATATGAGCAGATGATTTGCAAATCATAATTTTTGAATTGTGGAGTGGTCGTGTCCCACTTTTACCTTACAGTAGAATTGTCGCATTAGATTCACCCAAGATCTTCAGGCGAGTTGTAAAGGTTGAGTACCGCGAGGGGGAGTTCTTTTTTGGAGGAGGTGGAGGTCAAGCATGTTGATGGACCAATCAGATTGGATTGATGACAGAGGAGCTCTCATTCACCAAAACGAAAAAGTACAACACAAATCTCCCCTGGCTGCACTAAGTTTCAACGATCATCTTTTCCAGAGCCCCACCAGACATGGAAAAGTTATGTGGGTTTGCATTAAGCACACCGAGTGAGTTCCATAATAGTTCTATATGTAGCTGGTGAATGCTGGGGATTGGTCTGCGCGGAAGCCTTTAAAGTGCTGATAATCAAAAGCAAGGCTTGCAAAATTGGCGAGAATTATGACAACACGCATACTCACGCAGGCTTTTGACTGTGCAGAAGAAACTTCCAACTTGACTTAGCCGAGTTTTGTCAACAGGCTTGAAGTGTGTCGCTCGTCATTCACTCAGACCTAGCCAAAATGAATTGCTTTTTCACTGCTAAGCTAAGGTAAAGGAGTGGAGGGAGCGTCGCTCACTGTTTTCTCCACTGGAGGTAGTGGTCGGTGAAAGCATGCATGTCCTTTTTGACATCCCAGGTCGGCATTTTGCTGTGGATGCCCTCGGCGCTTCGCGTGGATGGCGTCGGCTCAGGCAAAGTGTCCAACTCTTTATGAGGATGCAACGTGATGCAATGTACACGGTTTTCTCACCAACTCTTGGTAGTAGGATGCAGATGGATTCAGTCATTTCATTCTGTTAGTGCTGGGAATTCCGAGAAATCTGGGTTTTGCAACCGCACCAAGCTGATCAACGCGTTTACTGTTTTTAAGTTTCAGCTTGCGACTTGTCTATCAATTTTGGTTGTTAGAGATGCAAAAGCAGAAGACCCCTGTAGGTTTGGTTCTTTCAGAAGGACCATCCAGTCGCTGTCCGAGCAGGTACTTACGGTCCACCTCTTTCTGTTGGTAGCGTATAGGATTGGTCTTCGCTGTGGGAATTCCGGTGGGGTGAAATGGTGTGCCCTGTGGCAGCGGTACTACCATGCCATACGCTTGGGGAGATGCCATACGCGCAGATGAACGCCACAGAATCATATTATGTAGTTTGGTTGAGGGTGCCTCTTTCCCAGTGCCAGCCGTATGGGTCCACTACCCAGTGCTGGGCCGTGAGGCTTTCAAGATGCCAACTTGAAGCCTTGTGCCTGGTACAGAGCGGTGGTCCAATCACTCACGAGCCATGCAGCTGGCATAGCTGCTCGGATACGCAGTTTGGGGGCCAAACTGGGGAGGTCCAGGTGTCATTGACTTGCCCCTATTGAGGTTTGTTTTTAAATTTGATCCAGGCAATTATGCAGATCCTCCAGAATCTTGATTTGGGGATATTTGGGGTGGTTTTGGGTGTCACGGGTCAGACCAATCTACAAGTGAAGAGGCACAATGACCATCTTGAACCTCAAGATGTCATGAACATCATGACCACCACTTGGCAGTGTCAGTGCGGTACTTCCCCATATTTATTGTTTAATACGTTCACCGACCCTGTCGCATGAGGTTGCCTTCTGCGGCTTTCAGTACTTGGTGGTCACCAAGATCTTGTGGCGTGGCGTGCTCGTTAGTGTTGGGAGCCATTCAGCCAGTGCAGAAGAGTTCTCGTCGTTCAAGTGAGCAGCGTCATTGAGTTTCATATTCCCAGTCGCAGCCACGGCAGAGCTGCCTAGGATGACGAGCGATCCCTGCGAGCCCTTCTCGCTCCCGAACATCTTGCTGTGCGTCACGTTGTTTCTCTCCACCATTGCCGTCTTTGCCAGTGGCCTGTGCCATGCCATTCCGGTGGGATGCGGTGGATAGATCGTCCCGGAAGGGTACGATATATTCTAATGTCCTGCGTCAAGAATCTGTGAGCAGTGAGTTTTTTGTTTAATCCTTCATGGACAGTGCATGTCAGAATCGTCTAATGCGTCTCTAGTTACATCTATGATCATCTCTGCACACGCAAGGAGCAAAGCAACATTTCAAACAGGAATACTTTGGATGTGACTCATGCGCCAAGTCTTGAAGATCGTCCAGGCCCCAAAGCCTCCGTCCTGAG